GCAGTGATAGCTATGCTTCACATCCGCTTGCTAGTAGGCACCCATCCCAACAGAACAGCCAAATGTGTTAAAAGATTCTACAGGATGACCAGAAGATTATTTCCAAGTGACACACGCTGGACGGTTTCCGCACCTATGCTCATAGGCGTGTATTTCCTTTGAGGCAACAGGTTACGATGAGAAGTAGAGGATTTCCTTTGTTGTGAATAAGCCCAACTGTGCTACTTGTTAGACTGAAAGCGCTTATCTAAAAACAGATAGGAAGCCCATACTTCCTGTTTGTGGAGGCAAAACAACACTGTCGTCAAATGACTGCTCGGCAGTCAATACCTAAAATACCAGCTACAATCTGTAGCCTATAATTCATACTACAATACACAGACTCAGAAGTGACACCATAAGTTACATGGATTTAATTAACAACATACAATGCAATTTTAAAATAAGCCAATTTTTACCCATAGGATTTGCAGGACAGGCAAATCTGCAGTCCATGCGTCCTACGTTTCTCTTTGTTCTCTGGTTTTAAACAGACATTTATCTCAATTGTGGGTAACAATGGACTTCTTGGGAGTCCGGGGGCAGGAAAGAAATGTGTACCACTGCAACTCATCATACTAGAAGAACAGTCTAAGCAGATCTACTCATAATTCTCCTGAAGTCTACTCAGTGGTGCTTACTTTCAGGAAAGTTCTTCTTAGGACTGCACTGTAAAACAGCCATGGTTTCTGTTACCAAGCACTGCCCACAGCATTCAATAACAAGCAGAGAATCACTGGTAAATCTTAAGAATGCCAGCGTGCCATAGTGGTGAGTGTGGGACTAGAAGATACAAATCATGCATTCTGCCATGAAGCTTGTTGGGTGATCTTAGGCCCGTTATGGTCTTTTCTAACCTATCTAACAGGGTTGTTGTTGTGAGGATAATATGGAAGAAAGGCATATGACATATGCTGCCTGGAGCTCCATGAAGGAATGGGAGGAAATCTACTAAAATGTATAATCAAAACAGCTGGAATGTCCTGGGGAACAATGGAATCCCCAGGACTTAACAAGGATATTAGTTTCTTATCTAACTACATATACTAACCTCATTCAGCTCTTACACCTGTATTGTCACCAATCCCCCAGAAGGGCCATTTTATTTTATCTCTTATTTGGAATAACAGATTAGAATAGTAGATTGTATAACGAATAGTAGAAATTGGAATGTATTTCTCTGGTCTGGGGACAGGGGAGATAAATCTGCCCAGCCAATCACCCCACTTCAAAGAGGAAGATGCTGTAAAAGCACCTCCATGCTTGAGAGGAGGCAGACGGTGAGGTCTCAAGTAAGTACTCTCAGCATTCCACAATTAAGGATACACAATTTCCAAGTCTGACATACTTATTTCCTTCACTGTTTTTTCCTCAGAATTAAACTCAAACAAATGGTAACCATATACATGAAGCGTATGATCCCTGTTCGATCCTTGAGTCTGTTAAACATCTTTATTATGCTGTATGATAATGTACTACTCACCCTCTACCTATAGGTATGGAATGGTAATTTTTGTTTTTGTTTCTGTCTCTTGTCTTGATTCTAATTGGCCCTTCCTGGCAACTAACACCCCCCCTTCCTATATGTAATGGTTGAGGAAATTCTGTTTCCCTGTATCTGAAGAAGTGTGCTTACACTCGGAAGCTTATACCTTTAATAAAACTTTGTTGGCCTTAAAGGTGCTGCTCGACCCAAACTTTTTTCTGCCTTAGGCAAGCCACTCTCAGCCTCCCATCTGCAATACAGGAATAATAAAGCTGTTGTACCTTACAGGGGTGTTGCAAGAATTACAGAGAGATTGTGAAGAATTTTGAATACTGAAAGTAATACATTTGAAAGCATGTGAGCCTGAGTGAGAAAGTTGGATTAAATAAGTAAATGAATAAAACATTATTTTATTACATTATTTTAAAAAGTTTACGGAACTTGAGTGTAATAGTCTATAGCTTAGTGGCATACATTTCTGTGTTCTACCTGTCACAGTGGTTGAAGAGACAGAGAATGGCAATATTTCCATTTTGAGCCAGAACCCAAACAAACCCAGGGAAGCCAAACTACTGTAAATAGGATGCAGGGCAGAATAAAGGCAAGCCCTAGTGGTTGCTGGGAAATCCCTGAATGACAGCATTTCCCCCTCCTTAGTAATCACCAAGGAAAGGTGTGACTGGCAGCTCTAAAATTCTATCAAGTGTTATCAAAGTTTAGAGCAGGGAAAAACAGTACCTGAAACCCAAATACATCAGTATAATCTAGTAACGAACAGTAGCCTCACGTTTGACAGATGCCAAGATTGCACTTACTCTGTGAAAGCCAAGATCTGAATGGGCCCTTTATTTCATTTTCCCCCCTTCCTACAGTGGCATACTTGAAGATGAGAAGAACCTTTCTTCAAAATATTGCATGACTGCTCTTATGTTCCATCCTCTGAAGTGAACCAACCAGTAAATAATATTAACCATGGCTTGAAATTAGGCTGCCGGGCAGCATTTTTCTTTATTGGCACCACAGTTTATGCTTAGTTTAGGATAGGGTTTTGCACTCGATTAGCCACAGAATGAAGGCACAGCCCCATTTACACAACTGAGCTGTGGACTGATATTTCTCACATAATGATCAACAACAACAACAAAAACAACCACCAACCGGCAACAACAACAACAACAAAAACAACCACCAACAACGGCAACAATGTGCTGTCAAGTCACAAACAATTTATGACAGCCCCTGCTGGGGTTTTCAAGGCAAGAGATGAGCAGAGGTGGTTTGCCATTACCTTCCTCTGCGTAACAACCCTGGTCTTCCTTGGTGGTCTCCCATTTAAGCACTAACCACAGTCAACCCTGCTTAGCTTTTGAGCTCTGACAAGCTTTGGCTAGTCTGGGTTATTCAGGCTGCTCCTTCTTGCAAATCACTTCTGAAACTCAGGGGCTTTCCATATAATACGAGTTTGGTATTCAAGGAGAAAGTAATGGGGAAAATCCCACTGGGAGCACTCAAGGCCTTAAGAAGCATTTTTGATACCAGTTCTAATGTTTTAACAGTTAATCCCCCCCCCCCTTTGAGCTTCCCAGTGCTACTGAGTCTGGACACTTTTTAAAAAAATTATATACTGCCTCTCCACAGACCTGCTTGAGGCAACTCACATAGTAGAACTATGTCACGAAATCATTAAGACAGCATAAAATTATCAACAGTAGCCCATAAAAACAAGCCAGGGCATAAAACAACATCTTGAAAAAGATGTTTATAAAACAATCCTCATGCTAAAAGTTGGCCATAAAAACAGCTTAAAACATAATGGGGAATTTCAGATTACCCTATTTAAGCCGTTATTATACCGTCTTAGAGTAAACCGGTACAGGGGTGGCCATTTCACACAACCTTTCCTACCGGTAAGGAACCATCTCTGAAGCGGTTTGGCATTTCAGACTGCGCTGCTTTGTTTTCCTGCCCTTTTTCGCCCGCGTGGGCGATCTTCGTCTTTTTAAAAAAACGTTCTTTTAGGAGCACTATAGCGCTATAACACAACACCAAAAAAGCACAATAGCAACCCCATTGGAATACCTGGACTCCATTGAGATACATGAGATTGGGAGATTTAAAAATAGGAAGTGGAAGCTTGGGAACGCACAGTTTGAGAGCTTTTTTTTTTTTTAATACTAGCTCATTCCTGGCTTGCAAACAGCATCCTCCTTTTGATGGCCAGCATTTCAGGATGCCATGCTGCCAGGGGGGACCTGGGGATCCCCTGTACTTTCAGTCAGTCTTCCCTCTAAGCAGAGTTAGTGTGAGCTGGCTCACAGTTTTTTAACCTCCAGCTCACATGTTTTTGTCTTAGCTCAGAAGAATGGCTCCAGAGCAAACTAATTTATGCAGTAGCCAAATACCTTGCTCACAATTCTAATTCCAGTAGCCCACAAAGTGGAAATTTTGCTCACAGGACTCCACAGCATAGAGGATTGCAGAGTTACAGCTTATCTCCTGCCTACAGATATCAGTTCCCAGGTATATAGCGAATGCTTGAAAGGAGGACTCCATGGCATTGTACTCCATTGAAATCCCTGTTTTCCCCAGATGTAGTGATCTCATGTATCTCAGTGGTCCAGGCATTCCAATGGGGTCGCTATTGTGCTGTTTTGGTGTTGTGTTATGGTGCTATAGCGCTCTTAAAAGAACATTTTAAAAAAGACACCTGCGCGGGCAAAAAAGGGCGGGAAAACCTTGTCATTGGAGGAAGCGCTATATGGGGGCATTTTACACAGCACCCCGTAGTGCTTAAGGAACAGTATAGAAAATTGAAGACCGCTTGGAAGCAGTTTGCAGGTAAAACGGCTCAGGAACGCTTCCCTAACGGGACAGGAGCATTTGTGTCCGAAAGGGTCAATATATTCTGTTAGGGAACCGTTACTAAAACAGTTCTGTCTGAAATGTCAGTACGGAAACCGTTAGTGAACAGTTCCTGAAACGGAACATATCGGCTTTCTGAAATTCCCCAAAGCCTCTCAATTAAAATCTTGGAGGAGGGGTGGAGAATGTTTGCCCTGGCACCTAAAAGACAGTAAGGTAGGCATCAAAAGATCCTCAAGGGCATTCAACAGGCGAGGTACTATCACTGAAAAAGCCTTCTCTCTGGGTAAAATCCAGTCTAATTCTACTTTTTTAAAACCAGGGGGAGATTTACATTACGTCAACGGAATGGATTGCAATGAAATACATCCATTATGTCTTTCTGCTGTATAATTTTCAGCAGAAAAGGCAAAGCCCATGAATTTATACAGATTATAATTTGAGCTACATGGTATCATTTTGCCGTCACGCAGCACTAATTCCACTCTAAATCACTTCTGTAGCATAATCAGATGCTGGCTTTAAAAACAAAGTGGACAGGATTGATGTCAGTGTGGTGACAGCAGAAACCATTTCCGGGCGGGGTGGGGGTGGGGAGATGCTCTTTACTTACTGGAATGTAGTAGATATTCATTTTGGGCGCTTCGTTGGCTGTGAACAGCATTCCTAAAGAGACAGAAAACAGCTGATAATGCTGCAAAACACATTTTTAAAAAATTGTGAACTGAACTTGCTCTTCTTGAGAATGAAGCCACTGTTATCATAACTCCAAATCACTGCAACTCTATACAATGAGTTATAAACTACCTTGAATGCCAATACGGGCAGAAAGGTAGGCTATAAACACTCTAAATAAATACATATTTGCATATGCATACCCTGCGTTCCTTCTCCCATGAGGACTCCAAATAGTTTACAACATTGTTCCCCCCACCGGCATGTTATCCTCCCAGAGAGACTGTAAGGTAGGTTAGGCTGAGAGTATGTGACTGGCTGAAGGCTTCCATGGCAAGAGTAGAGATTTGAACCTAGGTCTCCAAATCCTACTGCAACACTCTAACCACTATACCATACTGATAAGCTTCACAATTAGATGCCTGCAGTTAACATGGGTGGGGTAATGTTGTCTGCCTTATATTTAAATTACAAACAATAAATGGATATGAAACAAAATTATCACCAGTCATGGAACAGAGAGCCCTCGGTAGTAGAATAAGAGTGCCACAGGGTCTTGACTTAGCAAAAAAAATAGTATAAATCCGTTTCTTGAAAGTTTAAAGCCTACGTTGGGTTGGATTCTACAGAGCTAAGTTCACAGAAAGGATCTTTGCTGCCTCCCCACTTCCTGCTGCAGCCCTTGCAAAACCACTCCTGAGGGTTGGGGGTCCTTTGAAACAGCTACGCAGGGGGATGCAGCCAGAAGGGGAAACTGTGAGTGGGATGGAAAGACACAACAAAAATCCTTTTCACTAACATGCTCCATCGGCAGTTCCAGAGCATCCAATCGGTACTTTTAAACCAGAGAATAGCACATATCTCAGATGTCTCCTTCTGCTGAAAGATGATTTTATTCAGTCCTATTTTTGTTTAGGAAATGTAATTATTAAATAAAGCATTTTTTTGAAACTTTGAAACATTACAATAAAGAAGAGGAAAGTTTCCTCCTGGAGGTGATATTTTCCCAGGCACATACACTGGAACAGGGTTGAGATGCATATAATGGGGGAGAAGAAGGAAAAAGTTAGAGTCCTTAACCTCTTTCTGCTGCTTGGGTGTGGTAGCTCTTATCTGTTTTCTCAGGAAGAGAGCCATACTCACTGAACCACAAAACAGACTACCTAAAAATGGTTTCAGACAGATTTAAGAAACAGTCTACCTGTTAATAGGTCAGAGTCTAATGTGACTTTTTTCTTTAAAAAAACATCAGACATTGCAAGTAATTCATTATGAAACTTGAGGATGAAGAATCAAATATCCAGTTTGGACATGGGAACTTTTGAAGGGAAAGGAAGATTTATAATCTAGTGATCAATGAAAGCACTCAAAAACTCAATACAGGAAGTTGGCTGCAAGCATCTAGTGAAAAAAAGGAAGCCAGCGTGGTGTAGTGGTTAAGAGCTGCGGACTGTAATCTGGAGAACCGGGTTTGATTCCGCACCCCTCCTCATGAAGCCTGCTGGGTGACCCTGGGTCAGTCACAGTTCTTTCAGAGCTCTCTCAGCCCCACCTACCTCACAGGGTGTCTGCTGTGGGGAGAGGAAGGGGAGGTGGTTGTAAGCGGCTTTGAGACTCCTTTGGGTAGAGAAAAGTGGGTATTAAAAACCTCCTCCTCCTCTTCTTCTTCACCATCCAAAAACACTATATTGGGGGGTCATGGGACCTTCCAAAAACACTATATTGGACAAAAGCCAAAACACTATATTGGGGGGTCATGGGACCTTTCTTGGACAAAAGCCACATGGATGGGTACTTTAGTAAGAAGGGGTATAGGGTAAGATTAGCACATATCTCTGGCTGGATCCAACTGTACGTAAACACTGGGTACTGGTAAACACTGGGTACAACAAAATGTGGTAATTTCAACCAAAATATTGCACCCAATTTAATTTCATTTCCTTTTTTTAAAAAAAAAGTCTTAATAAACCCAAAAATGGATCACAATCAACTAACCCCAGAAAGAAAAACTATGAATTCCGTTTCAACCAGCACATTTATCACACAGTTAAATGCAAGAATGATAAACTGTTTTCTACCTACCCGAATTAGGATATATACAGACATCGTTAATATCATGTTCAGGCTCCATGGAAGTGAATATTTTCCCCTGAAACACAACAAATGTGAAACAGGACTGAGCATTCCTCTATTCTGAAGTTAGAACACAGAGAACAAGTACACCACAAAACAAGCCAGCCAATTTGAACACTCTGATAAATCCATGATTGAAGTCAATTCAAAGAACACTGTAATACAGACAAGAATCCTATAGAGAGGAACCCTACAAACACATTGCTCTAGCGCCTTCTCACCTCCCAATTCTTACGATTCTGACAAGGAATTTTAAGATGTATGTCATTATTATTTTTTAAATTACCAGCGTGGTCATGACTCAGCCCTTCACCAGCAGGACACAAATTCCCTCAAGTTTAAGCAATAGTTACAGTTTTGCCGCCACCCTCATAGACTTTCAACTGAGCTCTACAGCATGTTCTCACTACTTCATCATGAGACCATCACCAGGATCGCTCTAGCCATCTGAGCAACCTCTTTGTATTTCTCAGTTCCTCGGTATACAAAGGACAGGAAAAGACTGAGGGCACAGAGGGCATTGGGGAGCAACCAAATCGACGGCTGACCAAAGACCATTATTCCAACGGTTGGTACCATCAAGTGAAACACTGACAGGCCCTGGTAAACCCTTCAGAGCATCCTGGAATCCAACTGGATCCATAAGTCTCCACGGGCAAGCAAACATTAGCTCACTGCCCTTGTTGAGGGGGATGGTAAATCTTACACCAACCTTTAAGAGGACATTTCCGACCAATGCACTGGCTCTATAACCTGGACATCCAGATCTATACCTGTGCAGAATATCAGATCCAGTGTGTGGCCCTGCTTCATGTGTAGGGGTTCATAAAACTTGGGAGAGTCTCAGTGCTGCCATGGACAATATAAAGTCCGAGACAGCACCACTCAGGGCTGTGTCCGAATGGACGCTGAAGTCACCCAGGAATAATAGCTGAGGGAAACACAAGGCCCACTCAGAAACTGCCTCAGCTAGCCTCAGTAGAGTATCCACTGGAGAGCTAGGCAGACAGTATACCAGCAGGATATCCACCCTCTCCCTGGCTCCCCACACCAGGCGAACACATTCAGTGCTGGAGATATGAGATACAGGGGAAACCCTCTCAGATTAGAATAATCACTCCACCCCCCTCCCCCAGTCCTCTCATTCGAGGCTGATGAAGGACCCGGAAACCAGGAGGAGCCAGCTGAGTAAGAGGAACAACCTTATCAGGTTCCACCCAGGTCTCAGTCAAGCAAGCCAGATCAAAACCGCCCCATTTTATTACATCTTGAAGGGACCAGCTTTGTTCCTTATCGATCTGCCATTGCACAACATCAAGGATGGAGAAGAGAGTAAACCAGGAACATGAATACCATCATTCCTAAGGATGGGCCAGAGGTTAGAAGGGTTCCAAACATTACCATATCTCAGACACCTTATCTGAACTACACTACTCCCCCCCCCATACCTCCTGCCCCCCCCCACAGTCCTGTGATGCATGAACCACTGGGACACATCAATCGATGGAACTAATAAACAGTAAATGCAAGGCCAGATGACAATCCAAAATAAAGCTAAATATTAATTACACCAGTCAGCTTAGTAAAGACTGCTAACCAGAAGCAACATCTCTTAAAACGTTCATATATCTTACATTAAATATTCAACAGACTTATCCTATAGTATTTTGGGAGAAAAAGTGTTCTCTATCCAATCTCTCTGCCCTGAGCATAATTTTTAACAGAAGCTGTTAATCGACTTTGGCTGCACAGGGAGAAATAGACAAGAAGCTCATGTTTCTTGTGTTCCCACAATCTTTCTGCATTGGATTCTGGTCTCAGTGCAGCCCCAGGTAAATAATATTTTCCTCCCTCAAATGACTTAGGCAACACAAATTGCACCTTGGGGAAAGTTCAAAGTGGCTTCTCACATGGCAGATGAACAAGCTTCTGGCAGCAAGACTGATCCAGTTTTTACTTTTTAAAGCATTTGTGCTCCCTCTTCTTTGATGATGTTCCCTTGACGAAGGCTGGCTGGAAATCAAGGGCGGCGGCGGGGGGAGGCTGTGGGGTGGAGATCACTGCAGATTTGCCTGCAGCAGGGGAGCATCCGATTCTTTGTTTTCAGAGACTGAAGGCGGGGGACACCCCTGCTGTCTGTTAATTACCAAGGAGGGCATCAGAGATAGGTGCGGTGGCAACATGAAACAGGGAGGGAAAGGAAGTGCCCAGGTAGGTTAAGCTACCATAGAAGCAAATGAAAAAAGAGAGGCGTCCAATGGGAAACTTCGTATTTTGACGAACATGGATGCTTATTAACATTCTGCAATGGTTTTTGCTTTATGGGCTGTGTGCAGCCCTGAGTACTTTAAAGGTCCATCTTCTTCAGCTTTCCACCTCTATACATATGTCAAGACAGGCCTGCGGCCATAATTTTCCCGTTGCTCTTGCAATAACATCATTGACTCATTTAGCATTCATCAAACAGACTTAGGCGAAATGGCTTTCAAAAATACCATAGCAATGGCCAATCTCTTTGTCAAAGTTAAAGGAGACTACCATCAGACCAACATGCATTACATAGTTCTCTTAAGCCCCTCTCTCAGTGCAGCTTTTCCTCTTCTCTAGTGAGACACATCTGTGCTCCTGTCCATAAATGCCTTGTGCCCCTTGGCATGAACATGGCCAGGAATATAGAGGAACTGTTATGGTTCTTGACCAAAAAATCATGGAGGATGATTCTGCAGGCCACAAACACGGCCGGCCTAGTCTCTCAGCTGCACATGCCAAACAGGAAGAACAGCCTTGGAGAGGGATATCAAACAAAGGAGTAACAATAACATGGCCCTTAGGAAATTAGAATTAATTAATATCAACAGACATAGAGGAATTTCAGACAGACAATATAATCCGGAAGAGGAACGGTTCCCAAACGGTTTCTGGTCTGTCATTTTAGACAGAACCGTTTTAGAACCGGTTCCCTACCGGAATATATTTGTAATTTCAGACACAAACACTTCTGTCCTGTTTAGGAAACGGGGCTGAAGCGTTTTACCTGTCAACCGCTTCCAAGTAGTCTTCAGTTTCCACTCCCAGTTCCGATGCGCTTTTCCCCGCCGTTTTTCACCCGCACGGCCAATCTTTGGCTTTTTTTTTGAACGCTCACTTTATAGCGCTATAGCGGTATAATGCAACAGCATTATATCAACTCCACTGGAATGCCTGGAGTGTTGTGTTATCGCACTATAGCGCTCTAAAGCGAAAGTTAAAAAAAAAATGCCGGAGATTGCCCGTGCGGGCGAAAAATGGTGGGGGGAAAGCGGGGAAAAGCGATGCAGACTGAAATGGCAAACCGCTTCAGATCCAGCTCTTTACCGGAAGGGGTAAGCCATGTGTGAAATGGCAGCCCTATACCGGTTTATTCCACGACAGATCAAAAACGGCTTCAAAACGGTTTAAAAAGGGTAACGTGAAATTCCTCATAATGTTTTGGGGTTCAGAAATGAGAAGCATCTGAAAATGGCAAAAATGTCCAACTAACTGTAGTGTTCTTTGTTATGATTAAAAACAGGTTGTTTCCTGCCGGAGTGCGGCAGAGCGGCGCTCCAGCAGAGATGAGCCCAGGGCGCCACCCCATTGCTGGCCCACCTGCACAGGCGGATGGGCCAGGGAAGCCATGCAGAGCCCCCTGCCGCCTTTCCCCTGAGCCTCTCCGCTTCTGCACAGAGACTTGGGGGAAGGGGGTGGGGATTTAAATGTCTGAGTTCCCTGCCTGTGGCGGGCTAGCTGGAGAAGGGGAGGGGAGGCGGACAGAAGCAGAGAGGCTCAGGGGAAGGGGGGGGATATAAATGTCTGGGTTCCCTGCCCGATGTTCTCTAGGTGCCCCACAATTGTGGGACACCTAGAGAACATCGGGCAGGGAACCCAGGCATTGTCTCTTTTTGCATAAACTGAGGGAACTGAGAAGCCTGTGCTTCCTGGTGAGCAAAGAAGAGAGTATCTGTGACAGCAACGAGGATTGAATTAGGACAGGCAGGCTTCAGGAACAAAGGTGCTAAACCTACTGAGAGAGACGTTTAGGATTTGAAAGCATCAAACAGCAAAGAAAGAAAAACCAAGCATTCTCCAGCTGGCTGTAGGTGATTTTTTCCTTGGGGATCAGAATCCTTTAAACTCAGTGAAATCTGGTCTCCAAACTAAAGGGCAAGATTGAGTGTTTAGTGATACTGGCTAGACTTGCATTCACTTAAATCGTGATTAGGGGTGTTATGATTAAATCTGCATATGAATAAAAATAGTAGTGCTAAAGAAAGAAAGGACATTTGGATGATGCAAGTTGGTTCCAACTTGTCACTTCCTGCTTCCAGAGAAGTCAGGTCATTGTGGCAGGCAGCTGGAAAAAAATTTTCTGGAGGCGGAGAGATCCTGCCTCTGAGATCCACAGAACTGCCTTCTATGATAGAAGGAGCTTACTAGTAGTTCTAGGTATTTAACCTTGATCACCTGAGCATGCTGCTCTGTTGGCGGGGGGGGGGGGGTTGTAAGAGACAAGAGAGCATGTGACAGCACAACTTAACTGGAAACTGAAAACTTTTTGCTGCTGGAAAAATATGAGGAAATGTCAGTGCAGCTGCTGACATCATAGAGATGACCCCTGAAATGTATGTTCTATATTTTGGGGTTTGTGTGTATTTTAGATTTAGTTTTTATATTTTAAATGTCTGTGCTGCTCTTAGAGGGGGAGGGGGGCCCTATGTCTTGATGGGGAGTCCATATTATAGAACCTAGCTACGGAAAAGTCCGGGGCCAAGGGAAACACTTCCATAATATATTCTCCAGAGAGAAGGGGTTTAAACTTTAAACCCCTTCTCTCTTTGCTTCCCCACCCCATCCTGCCTTGGCAGGCCAGCTGGGGAAGGGAAGGGGAGGCTTTTGAAGATGCCTCCCCCCCGAAGATGCCTCACCCCTTTTTTGCTTCCCCTTCTGACACACTTCCAGTGATGTCAGGAGGTGTGGCATATGCTAATGAGTTTTGCT